TCTTCTTCTTCTTCTTCTTCTTCTTCTTCTTCCCTCACTAGAGTACATGTTCATTGATTTTTAGAGACAGGGGAAGGAAGGGGGAGAGAGAGAGAGAAACATTGATGTGAGAGAAACACTGATCTGTTGCCTCCTGCACATGCCCCAACTGGGGCCAGAGATCAAACCCACAACCTGGTATGTGCCCTGAGTGGGAATTAAACCTATGACCTTTCAGTGTATGGGATGTCACACCTACCACCTGAGCCACACAGGTCAGGGCAGCTATACATTTTTCCCTTTTTAGAGACTGCAGTAAGGGTTAGACTACACACTGTTAGAGTATGTGTCCTTAATTTCTCACAGTCTATTTAGAGTCAATATGCTACCGAGTCATGAAAATGTAGAAATTTTGCAATCTCTTTCCTGACACTATGCCATCTTTATAATTGTCTTCTGCATTACTTTTGTATAGATCATAAATTCTTCAGAATAAAATTACATATATATTTTTTGCTTTAAACTGTCAGTGCTTAAAAAAAAATAAAATAAAAAGAACTAGCCCTTTATATTTTCCTAGATATCTGCCATTTCCAGTGCCTTTTATTCCTTCCTGAAGACCTGTGTTTTCCTTGGTGTCATTAGCCTTCTACTTGAAAAACTTGCTGTAACATTCTTGTAGTACATACAGGTCCGCTAGTTACAACCACTCGGTCTTCTTATATACGCAAATATCTTTCTTCTACCTTTCTTATTTATTTGCACAGGACAGAATTCTGGTGGACAGAGTCCCTCCTCTCCTAGGACTTGAAAGATATCGTCTGGCCAAGAAGACTGCCGGTTTGGGGATTTTAGCTGCTTAGGGTAACACCATTATTGAAGAGCGCCCTCAGGCCCCAGACCAATCTCGGCTTGCCCCACTGCCTGTTCTCCTACAATCGGCCTACTTCGTTAACTCTCCAGGACCATCAAGTTGCTTTTCCACTGTTCAGAATGTAGAGTTACTATCTGTGGGAAGGTCGGTCTCTTAGAAGCTTACTCAGCCACACCAGGAGTGAAACTCCAGAACTCACGTTTTAAAAAACTCTTTCTACATTGCTTCCCTAGAGCAGAATTTTAAATAGAATATGGAATAAGTCAATTTGTTAAATATATTTTCAATACTTATTATTACAATAACAGGTGTCTGAAGGGCGATAAGGCATCAGCGGAGTTTCTATCTAAAGCGCTGTCTACTTTGACTTCTGTAATATTAGTTCTTTGTGATTCTCAGCTTTTAATTCCCTGATTCATCTTCCTGAGGTTACTTTTGTGACCTCTCTACTTCTGTGTCTCTTTAAGCATTGGTTTCAACCCAACCACAACCAGTGTGTTGTTTTTCAATTGATTTCTGCTTGCGTAGGCAGTTTCAAAAACCTCCTTGATTTCAACTACCACCTGAATGCAGGTGGCTCTTACGTGGAAATTTCCAGAACTGAACCTCTTGTATGAATCCCTGATCAATATCGTCCTTCTGCTAGAAATAGTCAACTGGATGTTCGGCATACACTGTGGACTCTTCGCTCCCTTGAACTCCTGAACGTCTTCCTTCTCTTCCTCCGTTTACCTTTTCACCAAGTAATAAATCTTTGTTGAGTCTTTCTACCATTACACATTTAATACTGAGAGCAACTGTGTCCTTCTGGATTTGAGTACTAACAGATTATATATTTATAACCACAAAACTAATATCAGACACCGATAAGAGCTACGGAGAAAATGATGCTCATTAAGGAGATAAAGACCTGGGGCTTGCTTTTCTCAGTAGGCTTATCAGAGACAGTTTCTCAGAAGTTCTGATATTTATAAAGAAATGTGGCTGAAGTGTGTCCACTGTACCACTTTTGTCAATACGTGGAGTCCCTCTGCCCCACATAACCTAGTCAAGAAACCACACTGTCAGCTTAAATTCAATCTGCTTTGTTTCTCACATCTAAAGATTCAAGAAATCCCCTTATATATTTTATCTCCTTTCTTCAGCTGCAAGTTTCCTTCTCTACTAGTAATGTCTCAGGTAATTCCCATTTTTTCCTTTGAATTACAATGGACTCTTTAAAGATCTCTGACATCCAGGCTTATACTCCTCCACTCTGTCCTCAGCAATGGTACCGGAGTGGGCTTTATTAATGAAAACCGGATTCTGTTACAACTTAAAATAATTCATTATCTTCACAATCTACTGCATAAAGTTTCTTATTAATGAAGTCTTCAATGATCTGGCCCCAGCTCATCTACCCTCACCACTTACTCTACCTTAGTACCCGTCTCCTATAACGTGTGTAGAGCTCATTCTTCTGCAGGCGTGTGGGCTATTTTCATCCATTTTCCATGTTCTTTGCTCATCTGCTACCTTTCTTAGAAAGGTCTCATCATCCCCTTCCCATTACACATTTGAAAAATTTTTGTTGTTGTTGATCCTCACCCGAGAATATTTTTCCATTGATTTTTAGATAGAGTAGAAGGGAGGCAGGGAGGGAGTGGGGGAGAAGGAGAAACATTGTTGTGAGAGAGACACACTGATTGGTTGCCTCCCACGGGACCCCAACAGGGGTCAAGGATCAAACCTGTAACCCATGTACACGCCCTTGAATGGGAATCGAACCTGTGACCCTTTGGTCTGCCGGCCAACACTCTAACCACTGAGCCAAATTGGCCGGGGCCACTTGGCAAACTTTTAAGACTGCGTTTCAGACAAGCTCTTAGGTGGTCAATGCCGCTGCTCCACAGACCTACCGTGAGTAACAAAATAAAAACCAAAATAAAATTGCATTCGTTTCTACCACAAAACCCCTTTCCTTGTCTCTAAGCAACATCTTTCCCCATTCTTCCTTCTTTGTGCTCTGTTTCCTCCATCTGACCTGAACTAGTGACAACTCCTAAAGGAAACGATGCTTTCTGTGGGCATGTGAGGACAAAATCTCCCCTTGTGATTGCTCTTCTCTTCCTTCACTCGTCTAACCCCTGCTCGATCCCTCGAGATTTAGCTTTTTATACTTTCTGAACTGGACATTACAATGAAGTGTAATTATTGCTTTACACTCTTTTCATTCCCGACTTGATCTTAAGTTCTTTGATAGCATTTCGTTCTTTTCCTGTTTAAATGTGTAGTTATTAGCACTATGCCTTGGCAGAAAGTAGATGGTGCGCCAGTGTGCGAGTGATGGAAAAGTGATTATTATTGATGTTATATTGAAAAATTAGATCTAAATGCAAAGCTTATGTATAAAAAAAAAAGAAAAAAGAAACTTTCCACGTGTCTCTATTAGCATCATGCTTAGTTTCCAGCACATACGGTGGGTATAGATCCATCTCTCTGCCCTATAATGTTTCCTTTGTCTTATCTTTCAATTGCCCTTCACCACTTACTTAATCTGTAACAAATAAATGTCTGCATCTAATTTCTACAAGATTTCTAAAACATTAATATGTTGTTGTTCATAAGTGGAAAATACTTTTTTCTTAAAATTGCATTAGGAAAACTTCAACCTTTTTCAAAACATGTTTTGATGTAGCACGATGATTATTTTATCTCTAAAAACAGGCATTCATCAAATACTTAGCTACTAACAACTGTTAAACCCAAAATAAGAACTTTTAAAAATCTTCACACACAGACGGTCTAACTTATTCTCCTCCCAGTTTTAAATATGATGCTTCATTTTGTAAGTCTCCTTAGGCAACATGCACACAATAGACACAGAACTCTTTTATTACTCATTTTATTTTCATATAAATTAACATCCTAAAAAATTGAAATAGAAACACTAAATACAGTATTGCACATAGAGATCTTTGTTAAATGCCCTATATTTTTCATTGAAGAATATTAATATACACATTGGAGGGTGTGAAGGAGACGAGAAGACTACAAACTACAACCAAAAACCCCGCCTACTGTTTCTCTGCACTTAAATGACAAACTCAAAGGCAAGAGACCGTAATTTACATAAATACAAATTTAGTGAGGAGTCAGAATAGTCTCTTTTTAAGTTGCTTTCCGTAATTGATTTGCAATAGCAATAAATTCTCCCTTTTATCTACAACCGTAACCCTCAACAAATATCATTAAAATAATTTTTACAAACCACACCTGTTCATGTTAGACAAAAACCATCACAATGCATCATAAGCTGACTTCAAGTACTTTCAGAAGAGTAGGAGATTTATTTTTTCCCCTTCCACATAAAATAAAATTATTTCCTAGGCCCCTTCAGATAATGAATCATTGCATACTCATTTTACAGCTTTTAATCACCTGCCGTAACACACAGAGACAGCCCCAATTATGTCAAAATACTCTGCCAAAAATTTTTAATTAACAACTTCTAGGTAGATGACAATCCAACAATTAGTCACATTTGGTAATTTTATGAGCATTATTTATTTAAATTCCTTCAAAACATTGAGTCATATTTTCTTTGTGAAAGGCAATGGCTGAGTGAGAGAGAGGCGTATCTTTAGTTTTCTTCCCTTCTGCTACAGATTAGCTTTATGTAGAGTCTCCAAGGACAGTCTGATAAAAGCCCTCAATTAAGAAACCTCTGATCCTGCCCATAGCAAGTAATTTATAAGAGAGGGGTTTCCGTTTGCTATATTTTTCATTGTCTTATGAGTAAAAATATGAGAATCTTCTTTCACAAATATATATCGATGGAGAGTAACTCAAAGAGTTGGGAAAGCCTTGATTATGATATATAAATGGTACTTAAATTTTAGAATAGAAAATGTACATGGAGACATGAAACATACAATTCACTAGAAATGACATCTTAACCAGGACCCTAAGTGTAGTAATGCGGAGTACTGCTTGTCAGTAGAAAGGAGTTTGCTGTATAGGGAACATTCTCACAAGAGTGTATTTTAGGTTACCGTGTCCCATGTTCACAATTAACGCAGATACTGCCTCCTATACACACTGTTCTGGGCTATCAGTAGAAACCATAAACTGTTACAAAGAGAAAAGGTGTCAAGCTCCCCACTGGTCTAGTGCTTTTGCATTTTATGTGAATGTACAGTAAAATCCAACCATCAGCGAACTGTCTAGAAAACACAAAGGTTATGCAAGAGGTCAAGAAGAAAAATGGTCAAAATGATGGAGTTCCGTTCCGGCCTTTGGGTCAGCTGGATGCTGAGTGAGTGGTTGAGAGAAACTCATTTTCATTCCGCTGTTCTTCGTTCAGGTTTTCATGCTTATCTTCGCTTTCTGAAAAGAAGTGCACCAGATAAAAGTTATAGTTAGAAACGAGAAGTTAAAAAAATGTATGGAGTTCAGAGCAGCCCAAACAAGACCTTTTCGTCTGGATCACACTCTCCGGGAAAGGTTAAAGACCAACCCGCCCATAAAGGAAAAAATGTAGAAGTAGAATATAGTTCATCTTTCAGAATTTTCACCAAGATAAACCACTAAGTATTTTTGGAGGGAAAAGGGGTTTATGAAATTTAATTTCTAATTGATGTCAAAGATTGCCAACTCGACTTTTCCTTCTCAGTTTTATGCACGCAAACATTAATGTGAAAATTGAACTGGCTGTTTCATTTCTATCCTTACAACAGCGTGAGTAAGGTTAACTACAAAATAATTATTCCTCATTCAATACACTTTAAATTTGTACTTTTATCAAAAAGGACAACAAATTAAACCATAATATAATAGTTGCCATTAGTTAAAAAATACAGAGCAATTGAACAAGAAATATATTATTTTTTATTCTTTGCATTTGGTTATTTATTTAGGTAGCTAGCTAGCTAGTTATTGTGCTTAGTTAATAGCTCAAAGCACTCATTATCATGCCATCCTGTCTTTTTTAAACTTTAATTTTCAATTACAGTTGACATTCAATATTATATTATATTAGTAGCAGGTGTACAGCATAGTGTTTAGACAATCGCATAATTTATGAAGTGTTCCCCTGATATTTCGAGCATCCATCGGCACCATACGTAGTTATTACAATATCATTGACAGTATTTCCTACACTGTACTTTACATCTCTGTGACAATTTTGTAACTACCAATTTTTACTTATTAATCCCTTCACCTTTTTCACCCAGCCCCTCAACCCTCCTCCCTTCTGGTAACCTTCAGGTCTGCTCTCTGTACCTGTGAGTCAGTTTCTCCTTTGTTTGTTCATTTACTTTGTTCTTTAGATTCTACATATAAGTGAAATCATATGGTATTTGTCTTTCTCTGTCTGACTTATTTCACTAAGCATAATACCCCCAGGTCCATCCATGTTGTCACAAATAGTAAGATTTAATTCTTTTTTTATGGCCAAGTAATATTCCATTGTAAATATGCACCATAGATTTTTTTTATCCAGTCTTCTATTGATGGGCACTGGTGTTGCTTCTACATATCCTGGCTAGTTTGGCTAATGCTATATTTTTCAAATTAGTGTTTTGGATTTCTTTGGATATATACCTAGAACTAGAATTACCAGGTCATAAGATAGTTCTATTTTTAATTTTTGAGGAACCTCCATAATGTTTTCCATAGTGGCTATACCAATTTTCAATCCTAACAGTGTACAAGGATTATCTCCACATCCTTGCCAATACTTGTTTGTTGACTTACTGATGATAACCATTCTGACAGATATCAGGTGATATTCTGAGTGTGGTTTTAATCACATTTCTTTGATGATTAGTGACACTGAGTATCTTTTTATATGTCTATTGGCCATCTGTATGTCCTTTTAGGAGAAATGTTTAGTCAGTTCCTCTGCCCATTTTTTAATTGGATTGTTTATTTTGTTGGTGCTGAGTTGGAAGAGCTCTTTATAGATTTTGGATATTATCCCCTCATCAGATATAACAATGGTGAATATTCTCTCCTAGTCAGTATATTTCTTTTTCCTTTTGTTGATGGTTTCCTTCGCTGTGCAAAAACTTGCTAGTTTAATGTAGTCCCATTTATTTATTTATTTATTTATTTATTTATTTATTTATTTTCTTTTGTTTCCCTTGCCCAGGGAAATACATCAGAAAAAAATACTGCTAAGAGAAACGTGGGATTTTATTGCCTGTGTTTTTTTCTAGGCATGGTTCCAAGTCTTACATTTAAGTCTTTAATCAATTTTGAGTGTATTCTTGTGCATGGTGTAAAACAGTGGTCTATTTTCTACTTTGTTTTTTAGATGTCTCTCTCCAATTTTCCCAACACCACATATTGAAGAGACTGTATATTCCTGACTCCTTTATCATAGATTCATTGACCATATAGGTGTGGTTTTATTTCTGGGCTCTCTACTGTGTTCCATTGATTTGTATGTCTGTTTTCATGTCATTACCATGTTGTTTTGATTATTAGAGCCTTGTAGTATAATTTGATATTGAATAGCATGGTGCCTCGAAGTTTGTTTCTTCTTTCTCAAGATTGCTGTAGCTATTTGAAGTCTTTTGTAGTTCCATATAAATTTTAAAATTATTTTTTCTAGTTCTTTGAAAAATGTCATTGGTATCTTGATAAGAATCACATTTAATCTATAAATTGCTTTGGGTAGCATGGACATTGTAACAATGTTAATTCTTCCTACCCATGAACACAGTATATGTTTCCATTTTATTTGTATCTTTTTCAATTTTTTTCTTCAGTGTCTTACAATTTTCTGAGTACAGGTCTTTTTTCTTCTTGGTTACATTTATTCCTAGGTTTCTTTGTTTTGTTTTGTTTTTGATGCAATTGTAAATGGGACTGTTTTCTTTTCTTGTCTTTTTTCTTTTCTTTTTAATCCTCACCCAAGGATATTTTTCCATTGATTTTTTAGATAGAGTGGAAGAAAGGGAGGGAGGGAGAGAGAGAGAGAGAAACATTAATGTCAGAGAGGCACCATCAATTGGTTGCCTCCTGCATGAACCCAACCAGGGCTGGAGATCGAACCTGCAACCCAGGAATGTGCTCTTGACTGGGAATCAAACCCATGACCCTTTGGTCCAAGGGCCAATACTCTAAGTGCTGAGCCAAACTAGCCAGGTGGAATTGTTTTCTTAATTACCCTTTCTGATTGTTCATTATTGGTCTATAAAAGTGCAACTGATTTCTGAATATTAATACTATATTCAGCTACATTACTAAATTGTTAAGTTCTAGTAGTTTTTTTGGTGGAATCTTTAGGGTTATTTATATATAGTATCATGACATCTGCAAACAATGACAGTTTTATTTCTTCCAATTTGGATGCCTTTTCTTTTTCTTGTCTGATTGCTGTCGCTGAGACTACCAATACTATATTGAATAAAAGTGGTTAAAGAGGACAACCCTGTCTTGTTGTTGATCTTAAGGAAAACAGTTTTAGCTTTTCCCTGTTGAGTAGGTTGTTAGCTGTGGGTTTGTCATATATAGCCTTTACTATGTTGAGTTATATTTCCTCTATTCCTACTTGGCTGAGAGTTTTTATCATAAATGAATGCTGAATTATGTCAAATGCTTTTTCTGCATCTGCTGATAGAATTTTTTCCCTTCATTTTGTTTATGTGATGTATCACATTAATTGATGTATGGATATTGTACCAACTTTGCATCCCAGGAATAAATCCCACTTGATCATGGTATATGATCTTTTTAATGTATTGCTGGATCTGGTTTGCTAAGGTTTTGTCGAGGATTTTTACATCTATGTTCATCAGGATATCAGCCTACGATTTCCTTTCAGTGCAGTGTCTTTATCCGGCTTTGGAATCAGGATGATACTGGTCTTGTGAAAATGAGCTCAGAAGCTTTTCCTCCCCTTGAATTTTTTGGAATAGTTTGAGAAGGACAGGTGTTAATTCCTCTTTGAAAATTCACCTGTGAAGCCATCCTGGCCCAGGACTTTTGAAGGGAAAACGGCCTTTAATTGAAGTAATAATTCATAACTTTTTCTAAAGAGGGCTATTTAATCATAAAAATCTGGGTTGTTTCAATATCTTTTCCATTTAGACTATGTCAGACTCATCCAATTCAAAAATTTTCTATTTTAAAGCCTAACCCAATTTTTCATTTAAAAGAACATCATTTACTTAGTCTGTGGAGCCCAGTGATAATCCCTCAAAACATTCAGCAAAACATTGACAGTATCACGAGAAAGAACTTGTCATTTTCACTGAGCCCTGCCCTCCCAGAGTGAAAAGCGTGGCCTCTGATTTTTAAGGAAGAAATGGGCAAGGAGGAACTTAGAATAGCTGTTTCCTGACTGACAGTTGTTACGCAGCCAACTGTGTAGAGCTATTTATAGGGACAAACCAGGTATCTGGTCTTAGCAATGGACTATTCTGCACTTGGCATGTCCCATTATGTTTTAGATCCCAATGGCACTAATGCAATTATAACAGTCACTCTGGTTCAAATGCAGCCCTGTGCTGTGACCGTGTGTAATAAAGAGGAAGATTACCCGCCCCGCCCCACCTCACACCCATTCCACATATAAGCACTTGCTTAGTGGGTTTATCTTAATTCTGAAGCTTGGAATGCTGAAGACTGGGGTCCTTTTAGCCTTTTGAGACTAATTAAAGCCATCAGGTAGAGGAAATTCGCTAAGTTAGAAGTTCACTATTTATTCAAACTTAAGAGAAAAATAATTAATATATTATATGACTATATTGTCAAAACAATGTTTAAAAGTCAAAGAAAATCACAGATTAAAGAACAGAAAGGTTAAATACTTACAATTCCAGAGTCGTGTCTTGGTTTTATTTTATAAAGTGATTTTCCTTTTTTCTGCCTACACACCTCTTCGGCTTCTTTTACTCTGCGTGGGAAGGAGACACATGCATTTGAACAAAGATACACATGGGTCACAGTGATCCATGTTGTAGTCGGTGAGCAATTACCCACTCATGAAAGGTTTGATTTATTGGAGAACATAATACACAGAAATGTGATCTAATATTTGATTTAAAAGCATAGAATGTTAAAGCTAGAGGCAACTTCATCCAGGGGTTCTTAACCTGGAATCGAAGACTATAGAATGGAATAGTATACAAACAGGTAAATATTTTGATGGATACATTTCATCACGTATTAAAGAAATCTTACATACAACAAAGTAAAGAAAAAATTCCTCATTTTCAGGTGAGCATGCTAATATTGGCTCCCTTAGGTAAATAGGATAGGCACTATAAAATGACTCAGAAGCATTAAAATGATTAACAGCATCGTACAAAAACTCAAATGCTTATTTAAAATGACTTCGGATTCACTTTCCACATCACGCTTACTTATGCATGAAAGCATTTGCAATGAATATTTGCATCATTTTTAAGAAATTGGAGTTCATCAAGCACGGGACCAATCATTTAACCAGAAGGAGAAAGCAGAGTGATATTGATAACATTTCCTACTACTTCTTTTTAAACACACACTCCACAGAAAGCAGTAATGAAGTAGCCAGAGGTGGAGGGAAAAAGGATGTGATTTGGAGGTAAGCTCTCATTATGTTCTGGCTTTGCTAGGTGACACTGGGCAACGACCTGCTACCACCCACCCCTGTATTCCCTCTGTCAGTAAAGGGGATCAATAATATATAATAGTTTTAAAATTATTACTACACAGAGTTGTTGCAAGGATAAAAAATTATTTACAACTGCTTTCTAAATTTTCCAATAATATAAGCAGTTATGCGTGATTACGTCAAGCATATCATATGAAATCCCCAAACTGGAATTCTAGTAAATTCTACTAATAAAAAGGGGCACCATAAGAAGATAAAGAACCGATTGCATTAATTACCTTTTGCTAATATGATTTGCTTTGAGAATTCAAAATGGAGTATTTCTGAAGAAAGTAAAAAGGCCACGACATCTTAACAAAAGACTTTGTATGTAGTGTTTAAAACCTATTTCCTCAAAGAAATAAATGATAAATATATTTCTAGAGCATTGTGGCAAAGGGGCTAAGGAGAGACTTCATCTCCTACACAGCTGAGGGAATCGCTGCTTTTCAACAACAGAACGGAACCGAGACTCTGAGACCTGAGCTTCAAGGTCGACGCTATGCTCACTCTAAAGGGTGACAAATCAGAATAATTCCTTCAGGACAAGAATGTCTGTGGGATTGATACTGTCAGAATTCCCCAGAATGACGACGATCCAGAAGACACGGCATTGTTAACACTTTTATTGCTTTCCACCCAGGCCATAAATTGCCTCTAATCCTTCCTCCAAACATTGGAAGACAAAAATATTTTCTTTATAACAAACCAAGGCTTGCAGAATCCCCATCTTCCTCTAAAACAACCATCAGTAAATTCAAATAGAAGTATTTGGACAGGGAATTAAGGGAACTTTTCTTCTTAGCACTTAGCCAAAATTCAGTATATTTCCTCTTAACTTTTCTTGGAGCCCTTTAAAGCATTTGGGGACATTTAGACAAATGTATTTCACAAGTATTTAGATCACCACAGCATCTTAACTTTCTCACCATTATATTTATCTTGTTCTTAAAACACATTTGAAAGGATCCCAGGAAGCCGAGCCGAATACCCGCATATTTAATTTCGCACAAAGACGAATGCAGCCATCCCTTACGCACAGATGATGAGAACTGAAAACAATGTGCGTCAGCGAACCTCACGAGCCCTCTGAGCTCATCCATTTATTGGACAATCGTTTATGGAGGAGCAACTCCGGGTCAGGCCTTGGGATCGGCCCCGTTTTATAAGGACAATGAAATTCAACATCTAATAGGAGAGATACACACATAAGCAAGTAGAGTGTGGCCCGGCCAGTGTGGCTCAGTGCTTGAGTGTGGACCCAGGCACCAAGAGGTCGCCAGTTCGATTCCTGGTCAGGGCACATGCCCAGGTGGTGGGCCTGATTCCCAATGGGAGGCATGCAGGAGGCGGCCAATCGATGTTCTCTCTCATCGATGTTTCTATCTCTCTAAAATCAAAAAAGAAAAAAGCAAGCAGAGTGCAATGGTGCACAAAGCATAACCACCTAGGTCTGCGGAGGTCCAGCCGTGTCCCGAGGAGGGTCCTGGGGCTGGCGGCAGGGCTTATGGGAATCTTTCTGGAGCAGATCGACAGCCAGGCCTTGTTTCAAAGATAAATTTTAAGTTTTCATACTTTTCTTGGAAGGGGGAATAGTACTGAGGTGAAAGAAGAATACTGTATACAGGATAATAAATGCAAAGGCCAAAGCTTAAAGAACTATAAACGTCTCCCTTGGCTGCCATAGGAGCCCCACACTAAGAGGCTGAAGTTCCAACCGGCTTGCGGGGTCATGACACTGTTTCGCGCGCATGACACAGCGCCCGTGTCCTGAGCACCTCCAGACGCGCAGGTGATCTGGGAGCTGGAAACGGAGCATCACGCTCTCGAGCAGCCACTCTTCACAATTAGGAGAATCAGTTAATTTACTCAGATGCAGGTCTCCAGGCCCGCTCGTCTATGTGCTGGTGTAGCCCCTCGGGATGGGCACACAGGCAGCACCTGGGAAAATCTGATGCAAGCCGCCTCTCTGGAGCCCGGTCTTCTTCCCGGAGCCTGGACTGGGGACCACACTCAGCCCCGAGACCAGCAGCCTTCCTTACCCCTCCCTACTTTACAGCAAGACTGTAAACATGGGGGTCAGAACCCCAAACTACAAACACTTGCTCACATCAGCACCCAGCGAGCCCCACCCTCCTAAATGAATGGGGCTGCTTCCGAACCCCCGTTGATGTCAACCATCTCTGCAACAAGATGTTTGTTCCACACTTTGGGCAGGAAAAAGAATGGGCCCCTGGCTGAGTTGCTCTGCCAGTTGGCAGAAATAAGAAATAACGAGGGAGGGGTGGGGATAAAGGGCCCAAGGCTGTCCACACAAACGTCCGTTTCTCCCTCGGGCTCCCCAGGCGACCGGCCGCGGCGTCAGCCACAAGGTCAGGCCACGGAGTAGCCACTGGTCTGTGCCATGCTCCTTCGCCCCGCCTCAGCCTCAGTCAGCAACGCTCTTTGGATGACGTCTTCGATAGACTTACTCTAACAACTGCAACCTCCAATCAGTAATCTAAACAACAGAAGGAAAATATGAACCAAACCAAATCATTAGATGATAGAAACCCCTCACTCGGCACTTTTCATGAGTTTAGAAAACAGCCCTGCAGAGATGGAGCCCAGGAAACTGGGAAATGCAGCTTCTGCTCAGAGAGAGGGTGCTGGCTGCACTAAGTGGCTACGAAATGTTTATGTTAACACTTTGCTGTTAGTATCTTTTATTGTCTGTGAAACGTCAGAAACAGAATTATGATGAATAAATTTCAAAAGTATATACGTATCCCATAAATGGAGGACCAAAAGTAATCAAAGAATACAAGGCATTATCTTTTAAGGGATAATTTAATTGTGGGAAATAAAAACATATGGAATCAGATTTGGCAAACAGAGTAGGTCACCAATGTAAGCAAAACAATTTTTGTCATAGGCAAAGTTTCGTTCTGGCAATGGCCAAAGAAATTTTGAACAGTCTTTTTGAAAATATTAAACTTTTCTCTCCCCTTTTAAAAATGTAAGTATACACGGTATGCATTATATTAGTTATATTAGTTTCAGGTTAAACTTTTCTTGATTGAACTTCTACTTCATGGCCGGTGGTCATCACTGCTCATGTCACCATTGTCATGTGCTAATACAGGGCCACCAAAGTCCTCCTAGGACACACCCAGCAGCCTGCCACACGTTCACCCAACACGCGGTACTTCGCTGCCCCTGACTTGACCCTGTGTCTACTTTCTCAATTTTCTGTTCCTGGGACGGCAGGTTGTGAGCACGTGTCGCCAGCACCAGCATGCCTACCTCTGTCTCCGGTCAATACGTCCTGTCTTCTTCGGAAAGCCAGATCATTTCAATGAGCCTTAAATAAGAGCCAGGACTCAGAGTTCAGTCCTAACTGAGCGACTCGAGTTCCTGGCCTTGGAAGCAGTCAGTGATTTTGGCTGACACAGGGCTTGTCTCTCTCTCCCCACTTCCCACACACCTCAGGGTTCACAGCTGTCTGGAGGGGGAGCCCAGAGTCTGACATACGGCTGTGCAGGGCTTTGCCGCCCTGCATGTCCAGGGGAGGAGACTCTAAGCTGTCGCATACCTGGGTCACATGGCCCCACCCACCTGCCTACCTGCAGGCTGTCTGCAGAGGCGGGAGCTGCACTGGACGGCAGCACGCCCGAACCCCGAGCGCATCACGGTAAGAAGTGTGACACCGCTAATCGGTAATGACAGATTTGGGGATGCTACAGAGAACCACCCACAGGATAAAAACTGAAGCATTTTGTGAGAAATACAACTGAGATTATCCCTCAGCTGAAATTGTGTTAAAGGGCAGAAGCGCCCGAAGGCATTTAATACTTAGATAACTTTAAGTATTAAAGCTTACATTTACTTAAAAAAAAAACTCATATTAACCTTATCTTCAAAAAACAAAGTTGTCTTGCAACCCAAAGAAAACTAATTAAATTTCAAAATGTCAATGTAGATTTTTTTGATTCCTTGCATACAAACATTCTAAGTTGTAACAACTTCGTTTGGTTTTAAGATATGAAGCTTAGAAGGAAGTTATTAAGCATGGAAAATCTGATTCCAGGAGAATGAGAATATTTTAAAATTAAGGTTTATATTTTAGAGAAGACAGCGGTAGATGATAGAATAAAAAGTACTTTTTATCACAGGATTTGCTGAAATTAGTTTCAATTCCAATTACTGTTTTTATTCGGGTGTTTTTCAAAGCGAGTGAAAAGTTTCTCAAATGTTGTCCTTAATAGAACTGGGCACAT